AGGGTGCCAGCTCAAGATTGACAGATTGAAAGCCTTCAAGAGGGCGCCAGCTGCCTCGATCGAGGGATGCAGCATGGAGGAGCACTTCATCGATGAGACCCCCGCAAGCTGGATGTTCGTTGGTGTTCAGGGATGTTTGGAGTTTAGGGTTGTTTCGGGTGGTTTAGGGTTGTTCATGGTCTAGAATACCGATGACCCCCCCTCTCTGCGGAATCAGTTTTGAGTTTTATTATGGTATGATCGCAAGTGATTCTTACACGTTGGTTTCGATTTTGGTGTAGAGGGGTGATAGAAAACCCGACACTCTAGTCCATCAGTGAAGGGTTATATGCGGGTTGGCTTGGGGCTTTGGGTGGCTCGCGGGGGCTTAGAGTAGGCTTCCCTGAACCTTGAATCGCCAGAGCCGCCAGCCAGATCGCCCAAAAATCCTACACCGTGTCTGTTGAAAGCCAGGACTCCGCGGGCCAGCCTCCATCTGCACTCAATGGACCACCGGCGGCGGTCTACGAAGGACGGATGAGCACTAAGACCTAAACCCTGAACCCTGAACCGGAAGCCCTAAACCCTCAGCCCAACCCGGCAACCGAAACCCGGAACCAGGGGCCCGAAACCCTAGAGCCTGATGAAGTCTTGAAGGCTTGAAGGTGTGGCAGTTGGTTAGATGCTGGGATTCTCTGCGTGATTGCACATGCACTATGGGTCCCAAAAAGCTCAGCGATAGCAGGCGTATCAGCTTTAATAGTTAGAGCAGGTTTTGCAGTCAGCTCCGGTAGCAGCTTATAGGAAATTGTTATGATTGTTTCTACAACTGTCATTGCCTTGGTTAACACTGTTCATTAAACGGACGTCTATTCCAGAAAGCCCAGAAAGCCAAAAGTCCAGAGTCGAAGTCTTGCCGGTTTCTCTTTCCTTCGGTTAGTAGGGAATGGAGGAATGGGGTACAATTATAACCACTATTGCTACCATTCTTCCATTCCCTACTAACCAAAGGTAAGTTCTCCCACCTCAGGAAGCGAATTCGTCCCTCTTCATCAGGCCTGCTCCCACGGCGGGAGTGAGAGTAGCAGAGGTGTTGGTTAAGGGCTTGAGGCCTGGCAGTTGCGGTAGGGGAGGCGCCTTCACTCTCTGGGGTACTTGCTTCGGAGTTCTTTTGCAGGTGCGCTGGGGCTTTCGAGTTTGTCAAGTCAGCCAAGAACCATAAACTGAAACATCCGTCACCGGCGTCTCAAGAAGCCTCAGCAGGGTCAGATAGCAGCTCTTCTGCTTCTAGTATCCCTGTAATAATCCTTGTAGTGCCCCTGAACCCCTAAACCCACCCTGTACCGGTCTTTCGTGCACACCTTGGCATGGAACCGCTGGACAGGGTGGAGGCTCCGGGCTTTGCCGTCCTATGCAGTTTAGGGTTTTAGGGTTTAGGGGTTTAGGGTTCAGGGTGTATATCTTGCAGCACATCACCTTTTGGCCTGGAGTCCCGCAAGAACAGAATACCCGAAGCCCCAACCAAAAAGCTCTGAAGCCTTAAGGCCTTAAGAACCCGGAGCCCGAGACCACGACGCTCTAAACCCCGCAACCCCCGAAGCTGGAAAGCCCCTATGTGTCACATTTTGGGAGCATCAACGAAAATGGGACCCCATAGCAAGATCCATATGACAAGCGCTGCCGTGATAGAGGGAGATGCGTCTTTGTAGTTGTGCAGAGCATGTCCTCAGCCCAGCGCATAAGCTAGTGCCTGAGACAAGGTCGTGAGACTCCAGGTGGTACAGTATATTGCACCCACAAACCCTTTTTCAAATATTGGGTCCCAATATTAAAGCCCATGGAAGCCTTCAAAAGCCTACAACCGTAGAAACCGCTTCTTCGAGTAGCAAGGCCTTTGTGTATTTGTGCTCCGAATTCAATCCTTTCTCATTTAAAGACTCAGCTTCGCGCAAGGAACGCTTCCCCGCTGCCTATGCCGACGTGGCGGACTTGGCTTTTAATAACCCTAACTCTTTGACCTTATAAACCCTGAACCTATATAACCCTACACCTTCAAAGCGAAAGTCCACAGAAACTGGGTGTCTTGACAGCGCGGCACACCAGCCCAGCCAGCCCAGCTCAGCCAAGCCCAGCAGCCCAGCATCTTGGGGACGGGCATGTGGTTTGCTTTTGGTCTTGCTTTCCTGTTTCTGTCTTCACTGGAGCTCCGATGTAGGCCGGGAGCGACCCAAGAAAAGCAAGCCAGAGGCGCCTTTCGACGTGCGTGTGCGGTCTGCCGCTCGACCTGCTTGCCGGACGGGGATCCTCGCGAGCGCCTCACGGCATGTGTGAGTCGGCACACAAACCTGCCCAACCGCCAGCAAGCGTGGGTGCCTGTCGAGCTTCAGCAAAGCATTCGCTGAACCCGAACTGTTCCCAGCCCAGCCCAGCGCAGCAGACCCAACCCGGCGTTGCACAGCCTAGAGTCCCAGCATGGAAAGCAAGGTGCAAAAGAAACACTTGCTGAAAATTCTCGCTCAAAACTTTCGTTTGTTAAAAGAAACTTTTGCTCAAAGCTTTCGCTCATAATTTATGCGTACGAACTCGCGGACATTCGGCCAACATAGATACAAGGCTTCAGCCGTCGTGTTCGCGAGTGTCGCAAAAGTGAGCATCCTGAGAATTGGCTTCGTCTGCAGATTGCGTACGCTTCGAGGGTGAGTTAGAACAAGCTGACTTGAGGCACCCTCGTCTTACGCTTTGTGGTTGTGCTGTTGGTTTGTGGGAGTTTCCGAAAATAGGGGGCCCCTAAGATAGTACCCTAAATAGTAGGACTCTTATTATAAGGACCCCCAAATAAGGTACCCCAATATTCGGAAACTCCCATATAGCGGCATTGAGGGCTTTAGGGTCCTTACGAGCCAGATGCTGCATAGCCGGTTGTGTACAGGAGCCGAAGCCGAGAGAGGCAGCAAAACCTAGGTTCACTTGTGAACCCAAAGGCTCCATGTACTCATATGGGTGGTTGTCAAAATTAAATTATGGTCCCTTTTTGGGTCCCCTAAATATTAAGTACCGTACTATAGTAAGGAGCCAAAAAGAGACCCTAATTTTGACAACCACCCATATAGTAGATACATATAATCCTTAAAGGGGTCCCTAGAGAGGTAGTTTTAAGACATACTGTCATACTTGGAGGTGCAGGGGACTTAGTTAGTAGGTTATAGGTAGGGTTATAATTGGGGTAACTCCATTTAGGGTACTGAAACCTCCTACTTATCACCCTACTTACTAAGTCCCCTGCCCCTCCAAGTAGGTTCTTGTTAAAGGATTTAGTTTAAGTTACCATAATAGGGAAACCTTATTATTCACCATAGATCCTTTTTATGGTAACTTAAATTAAATCCCTTAACGAGAACCCAGAAACAATCACGGGTCCTGCTTGCAGCACTGAGGGACATGCTGCGGTCTGACAAAGCAACGTGGCATTACCGCCTTCAGCCCAGCCCAGCCCAGCCCAGCCCTACCCTAGGGCCCCCCAACATAGAAAGCAAGGTGCAAAAGAAACACCCGCACAAAAACTGTTCAAATTTTGTCGACACCTAAGCGTCTATAAACCCTACACGAGCTTGGGGAGGCCGAGCATTCGGGTGTAGGGTTTAAACTCTGGAGAGGGGCCTGCGTCGCGTTTTAGTGCGGGTCGAACAGCCACGGGCAGATCTTTCGTCCTGCTGGTGTGCTCCCAATTTCAATTCCTTCCAACTAGTCAAACAGCATGCTTGACTTTCATGTACTACATATGTAAATGCTTGTCAGGTATTGAAGATTCGGCTGTTGCGGTTGCAGATGCTGAGTGCTGTGGCATCATTCGCTACATGTCCGTGCATAGTCCTTATATGATAGACGGTCATATACCCCAAAAGCGTCTCCTAGATGATTGCCTGAGGCGAGAACCTGGGTCCAAATCTTCCGCGTTACCCGCCGTGGCGCTGCGGCGGAAAAATGCTAAGGAGCTCGCTAATCCAAAGCAGCCTTAAATGCAGAACCCCTGGGACCACAACACCCTATAACATCCTCTCCTCTCAGAGGTTCAGGGTTTGATGTAAGTGCGTTTAGGCTTCGAAGGAGTTTATGGGTTTAGGGATCAGGGTTTAGGGTTCGTTGGGTTTAAGGATGTTTGAGGTTTCTGTGCTCAGGGAGTTCAGCAAAGCCCTAGACCTTAAACCTCTTTGGCCTGAACCCAGAGCCTGAAACCTTTTGCCAGACGTTCTTCGACCCAATGCTCATTGGGGTTATATAAGGCCCTAGCATCCTAAACCCGAGAGTTTGGGGTTATGTAGGCTTAGAATCCCAAACCCTAAGCCCTCAACCCTTGCGGTGCAGGTAGGGTTATATGAGGCTTAAAATCCGAAACCCTAAGCCTTCAAACGTTCTGTCCTAAACACCAATCTTTTGCAGAGCGGATAAGGGTGCTTGGCCTTTCCTTCATGCGCGATTGCTGTGCTGTCCAAGAAAGACTTCGGGTTACCTGTGACCCCAAACCCTACACAACAGTAGGTTATGACACTTAAGGGTCTAACCCCTAAAACAATAGGTTTTTGGATCCACAGGTAGGGTCTAAGGGGTTATAAGGGGTTCAGGGTTTAGGGGTTGAGGGTTTACGGTTGTAAGCTTCAGTGGTTAGCGTTTGGGGGCTTGGAGTTCAAGGTTGGGTGTAGCGGTCCGCTCGTCTTCTCAAGCACTATCCAGCAATGCGAACATCGCAGCAAACCTGCAGACCTAGATCAATTCTAACGAACGGGAGAGTTCAAGCAATCAGAGCCCGTACTTCTGCCTGAACCACCCCTGAACCACCCTAAAACGCCTGGATCCTCAGCAAGCCCAGCTACCGCAAAGCTGCAGCATCTTTCGATTTGCACCTCCAGTCACACATGCTAAATACCTGGACCCTCACGGCTTCATAAGCCTCTGAGCAGTCCAAGAATACCGAAACCCCAATCTCTACGACCGCGGATCCCTGAATCTCGTGTGCTGACCCACTGATGGCTGCGCCGTGGCTCCTTTATGTGGATGGTCTTAACATCTCGCGCTACTTCTTTCCACAGAAGGATCTGACCATGCGCTTCAGCCCGAGAAACCGTTTGTTGGGCTCCAGTCCTCTTCATCTGCAATTTGCGTTTAGGTTGGATAATTATTGCCCCCATTCAGCAGCATTTGCCCGTTTTTCATAAAGATATATACACCGGTAATACTTGGGCCAACATTATAGACTGTTACTGCAGGGAGGGGCCGTACTTGAGGTTTAGTGGTCCGGGCGACAGTGCTCTCAACCGTAAACATGACTTTGCTTTTAGTTATGAGGGGTCGGATTTGCATGTTTGCTATTGTGTGTGCGTTCAACGTGTCTTTTTTCTGAAGCTACTCCAAAGTATCGAAGGCCATGCAGATAACCACGTCTATGCCGCGTGTACTGCCTGGTCATAATCGTCGCGCTTGCTTCCTGGTAACAGACTCCCCTCCCCTCCCCTAAACGGCCACTATTCTACAAATTTGGGGACCGGGTATAAGCCCTGTAAACCCAAAGCCTAAATCCAGAAGCGCCAAGCGGTAGCTCTGATCGGAGAAAAAAGCGCCCCGAAAAGCATGTCGGCGCGAGGACCTCTGGGATTTGACCCGTGCCTTCCGCAAGGCACAGTTAATGCCTTAGTAGCTGAGTGAGCACACTTCACACTTTTTGGGATAATGTGATCTCCTATAGAACTGAAAGTATACACCTTTGGGGGGGCTTATCAACTCAGCAACTAGGATGCAATTTGGGAAGGAACTGGGAGCGCTGGAGGGGTTGGGAGTTGAGGTTTTCAGAGTTTTGGGGTCCCAAGGTTGAGAGATGGAGGTTCTTGGGTTTTTGTGTTGTGCGGGTTGTTTAGGTTTTAGCTTTAGGATTCTTAGGGGGCCAGGATTCTAGGCGTTCCGGTTCCAGCATCGGTGATATACTGCCATTGCTACTTTGACTGCGACTTCGGCACCCCTATTCTTACCCCAGCCAAGGCGAGTTCAAATCAAAATGAACGAAGGCTGGGTTGAAACGACCCGTAAAATTATACTGCGGAGCCTCAAGGGGTGGCAACACAGAGGCCTTGGGTGTGCCCCTGAACCGGGTTTGGGGTAAAGGGGCTCTTGGGCCTGATTTGTGTGAGCCCGCAGACCCTAAACCCGATGTTCCAACAGGTGGAGAAGTTCGTGGCGGCTGCGAAGGTGGCAGGCTTTGAGGTGGGAGAAGTTGTTTCTTGTCTCTTTACGGACTTTGCACATGCTAAGACTGCTAAGAGGCCAATATACACCTTTGCAGAAGCCTTATTCCTGTAGTAACCCTTGTGGAACCTTTACCAGTAGCCCTAATAGTAGCCCATATAGAATCCTTGCGGTAGCCCTTATAGGAACCCTTGTCGAACCCTTACAGTAGCCGTTTCTGTAACCTGGAACCGATACAGTAGCCCGTATAGCAGCCCTTCCAGAAGAGTTTCGGACGTGGGTCGTCTCGGATAGGATAGGTACCTCAGCAGGGTCGAAGTTTATGCTGGACTTTGGAACCCGGAATCTGATGTATTCTGTTATGCTGCTGTACTGTGCGTTACAATTCCATTACATTGTATCGTATGGTATGAAATTATGTTCCATGGTATTGTATGGCATCGTACCGTATCGCATTGTATTGTGTGGTGTGGTATCTATTGTATTTTATGGTATCTGGTATTGCATTGTATTGTATGGTATGGCGTCCTATTGTATTTTATAATATTGCATTGTATTGTACTGTATTGTATGGTATTCTATTGTTTCGCATGGTATTGTATTGTAGCGAGTTACATCATACAATATGGTATTTCCTTTATCATACTGTAGTGTGGTATACTAGTTCCGAGTCGTTTCTATTCTACTATGTTCTATGATGGTATAAGATATGGCATGTTATATTCCGTCATACTATACATTTTGTAGAATAGATACTCCAAGGTTTGTCATGTGAGGGTTGATGGATTGCAGTTAAACTGTCTCAGCCAGAGACGGAAGCGTCTATTTCTGCCTCCTCGCCTCAGAACTTCTGATCTTAGCGTCCGGTTGAGGAACCCAAGATGACGCCGGACATTCTATACCTTAAACTCTTAACCCCATACCCTAAATCCTAAACCCTATATAGACCCTAAACCCTAAACCCTGTATACCCTAAACCCTATACCCTATAAACCCTAAGCCCTATACCGTCCGGAGCAGCCCCTACACCCCGAATCTTGAGTCCGACTTTACATGACCCCCTAATGTAGGAACCTTAAAAAGAAGCCCTGGGCCCATAGCCCCCAAGATAGTAGGATTCATATAAGGAACCCCCATGAAGGCCCAAGGTTTCTTCATCAGGTTCCTACATTGAACCGATTCAAAAGCCCGATCAAACATCTAAGGTTTAGGCTTTAGGCTTTGGGCTTTAGGCTTCAGGGTTGCAAGAGGTGAGCGTTTTCCTCGATGCCTCCATCCAGAGTGACGAGTGCATGCGCAAGTGGTTCAAGCGGCGCGAAGACGAGGTGAAGAAGATGAACAGAGGCGGGGAGGGTTTCCTCCTCGGTTCAGGGACATGGCATTCAGAACAAAAAGAGATTGGGTCAAAGCCAAAGCACCGGAGGCGTGTTCGCTCGCTCACCCAGATTTGGCTAGATCACCGGCCTAACACGTAAACCCTGTGTGTGTGTGTGTGGGTGGGTGGTGAAAATTGTACTACAGTTATAATAAGGAACCCCCAACACCCTATTCTAGTTATTAAGGCCCCTATAGTAACCCTGAGCTATATCCAACGAAGCTTCGCAAGAGAGCCCAGGTGTACCACAGGGCATTCAAACCATCGTCGGAGACATGTTCAGTGAGCTTGGTATCAAAGTTTATTTCTCGCTTGAGACCGACCTAGATGATGCATTGGCAGCCTTTGCAGAGGCAGATGGCGCTGCAATTCTGAGTGGTGACAGCGACTTCTTCCGATACGAGGGGGCCACTTATCAAGTCTACGAAGGCTTTGAGATAGTGCGGTCCTGTCTCGAGCTGATCCCGGCGGATGGAACCGGTGCACGCGCCAGAAAGCTTGCGATCATACCCAAGCCACAGATGGTCGAGAAGACCCCATCCTTCATAGACGTGCAGCGTACCGGTATCTACACTCGAGGGGCTTGCTCTCCCCTCGTACGTCTGGTAGGAAATCCTCATGCATGGCTTCGGCCCCTTCGTCAGGCTCTCTACGCGCGCATGGGCCTCAGGGGGCCGGTGCGAGAAGTGTTTCCCAGCTGGGATGCTTCTGCTCGGAAGGTTGTTTGGAGCGACGACGAAGTTTTTCCGGACAGGGCCATGGATCAGTTTTTGGAGGACCCTACCAGGGCTTTGCAATCTCTGGTTCCCGACCTGGTGGATCAAGTTCCAGAGGTGGACACTGTGCAACGCTGGAGGCACATCTTTGGTGTGCATGCCGTGGTGCATGAGCTGTGCTGCGCAGCGAATGACTCTTCCTTGTTCCGCGCCCTCGTCGAGGATGATGTGCTGGCTGCTTCGGCGCCCTGGCGACGAGGCAAGGGAAAGCCTGGCAAAGGCCAGGGCAAAGGCAAGGCCAAAGGGAAGGACCTGGGCAACGACCGCAAGGAAGGCCAATGCAAAGGCCAAAGCAAAGGTCAATCCAAGGGCCAGGGCAAGAAAAACGGCCAGGATCTGATTCAACGGGCGCTCCAACCCGTCCTCGACTCTCAAAGCTTGCCAGCATGAGCGAACAAGACTTCCCCATATAATATATTACTGGACTGATATTTTCAACAGAAGAAGAAAATGGTCGGCTTCAGGGATTTGGGTTTAGGCTGACAGGCTTTACGAAGATTTGATATAAACAAAAATTCAGAAAAATGAAGATGTGTTCTCTCATATTTTCTTAGACTTCAACAAAATAGTTTCGAGAAGGTTATCAAACAACAAGGTTAATACGGATATCTATAATATTGGAATTACTAGTAATATTAGCAGTTCAAATTATTTTGCGAAAGCATCGAAATTTCTTCCACTTCTCACAGAATTAGATAAATAGAAAAACGAAATTCGCTACATTTATATGCACGATATTATATCCACACATATATATATAGGTAGAAAAAGTAGAAATTTTCAATGAATCTTGATATTGCTTACGATCCAAAAATAAGCTCATGAATGCATAACCTGTTTTGGAGCATCTATTCTTTTATCTTATTACATATATACATGCATATATATATATAAAGAAATTCACCTCAAATTGAAATAGTTTGGAACATGCAAAATTTAATCGTTTTGGATTGAATCAAGGTGAAAGATAATTATAGATACTATTGACATAGTCTTTTATTGCGACTCTTACTATATTTCTACTTTCATATGGCAAAATTTTATTATCGATATTTAACTGAGGATTTTTGAAAATTATGGCAATTTACAAAATTTTATTCTTCTTTATATACATCGATAATTGAAAGGTAGAGAACTGATCTAGAATTTGATTGAATATAAAAACTGGTGAAGTGATAAAGCACGATAGATGAAAAATATAAAAAACTATTAAACAAACGGAACAAATATATTTAGATGAAGGGTTGGGAGGGGGGGGTGCTTGAATAACTTCTAGGAGTTGTAAATTTTCAAACACAGTAATATGTATTAGCAGTATTTGTAGTAGTGGTTCATTAGTAGTAGTTGATAGTATCTGACTCAAATTTGGGTCGGAGAATTATGTGTAACCCTAAGGAGATGAATCACTTACATAATTCTTGAAGATCTGTCGTTATTTTAATTCGGCCGGCTCAATTGTCAAAATAGAATTTGTGTAAATCCTTGTAGATGCATAGGTACAAAAAGGTGAATAAGCTAAGACGTATTATACAATTTATAATATACCTTGTATTTTCATAAATTCGCTAGTTTGCCACAATATATATATATGAATATATATATATATATAATTATATAGATAGATCTGAACATATATATGTATGTATATATATGTATGTATATATATATATATATACATATATATATGTATGTACATATATATATATATGTATGTACATATATATATGTATGTATGTATGTATGTATGTGTATATACACATATACATATATATATATATATATATATATACATATTTCTAAGCCAATCAAAGGACCGGGTAATCCCAGGTGAGTATATCTGTGGATGGTGATAAGCCAGTTGATGATCCTTCTAGAGCCTTCCAAAAGAGTGTGCGCAGTGTTGTGGTGCAGTACGTGTGTTGTGTTGTGCTGTGCTATGCGTGGTGTTGTGTGTGCTGTGCTGTGTGGTGTGTGTTGTGTTCTGTGTGTTGTGTGTTGTGTGGTGTGTGTTGTGCGTGTTGCGTGTCGTGTGTGTTGTGTGTTGTGTGTTGTGTATTGTGTGTTGGGTCTTGTATTGTCTGTGTTGTCCAGAGCAAATCATGCATGGCATATCTCACGAAGGTCGATGACCTGTGAACACGTGCGTGCGTGCGGTATATTCACGTGTTGTGACCACGCTGACTGCGCCATGCCATCTTGTAGAAGTGTGCATCAAGCGTCCGGTAGGCGCTGCGTGAACAAGCTCACAAGTTGGGTTTTTTGCAGATCCTCTGATTCTTGCACTTGTCATGTGTCTGTCCTGCAGCCGTCTCCGTCCTTGAGTTGCCTTAACCTCTTGACTTGATGAAACTGTTGCGTGCTCGGGAAACCATTACGTTGTGAACCTGGAACTGCATGTCGGCTTGATGAACCTTAACTTGCTTGACTTGATCAACTTGGCTTTACCAATCTGGAAAACCTTCGGGTTTTCATTTGTTTATCTGGCATGAAGCGGTTTTGTGTCGATGTGTTCGCTGGGAAGAGGGCTGTGAGCAGGGCGTTCACCAAGCGGAACTTGCGAGCAACTGGGTTTCGTGTTTTTCACCCAGCGAATTGTTTTGCAAAGCTTTCTCTCGCAACAGTATATGATTTTCTACATGTGCCGTATTGGTTCTTGATCTTTCTTGAACCCAACCACATCCCAAAGCATGACTCATGTTTTTCTGCTTCCAACCAGTCCATGTCTGACTGTCAGAGCTGCAGCAGGAGAATCTAGAGTGCATGGTTGTTTTCATATTCTTGAGGCTTTCATATCAAGCTTCATGAAGTGAAGCTACGAGGATGCAATGTGTAGCAAGATCTTGTTTCTGAACCTTTCTCAGTCATGTGGCAATGGATATGTTGAGTTTACATCGGGCTCGATTGGAGATGTGCTCGCTTACTTGTTGGTTCCGTGGGGTTGACTTTCTCTGCTAGGTCTCTTTGCTTTAAAGGTCCATTTCCATTTCATGTTTGCTTCGTAGCGGTGGGACTTGTCCAGTCATGGCCGCTCCCAGTATTACATGTTTCACATGCGGGTGTGGGCGCCAATGTGCATGCGCTTCATCTGCAGCCGCAAGGGTTGCCAAGTCTCGGTGTCACGCGAATCAGGTGCATGATGTTTCTATTCGGCTTCAACGAGGCCTCATCACGATATCCAATATTTTATGGGAGTTGCTTTCTCATGACGGAGGCTAGCATAACGCGACGGTTTTTGTGCAGAGCGGAGTTTCATCGTTCTTGATTTTGGTCAAACAAGGTTTCCGATTCGGTGATGCTGAACAAGACCGTCGTTCCATCAAGTATAGCCAGATTGCTATGTTTTCATTCTTTTTCAGATGGCTTCCTGCTGTATCGAAATTCCTCTGCCGCACAAAGCGCACTATTATGAGCAGTGGTTTACCTGGAATGCACGGCGACAGGGACTTGGAAGCATATTCGATCGGCTCTCCCTGCGATGAACTCGGCCCCGGGACGGCCACTCAAGTGGTTAGGGTACCGCAAGTTTCATCACGCTAAACCACAAAGGAATAGATACGGCAATCAGGTGGTGGATGGATCCAAGATGTTGGTCTTTATTGGCGCGTCTATGGTAAAAGTTAAATTAAAGCTCTTTGGAAGGCGCAGTCGCGCTTCGGACATCTTGACCTTTGGCTGGGTTAAGTTCCGAGGCCAGATTATATCCACATTCCGCCTGCTTCCTTAACTTCCAGTTGTAGACACACGTCCGTGTGCGGGGGTAGTGCTGTTGGCACTATCAAAAAAGAAGGAAGTGCCAGGCAGACTGCCGATGAATCGGCGGAAGACAACCCCGTGAGACTGCCGGCTTGCAAGATTGACCAGCACCCGTTGAGATCTTACAAAGCCTGAGTTGCACGTTCTGCTGATCTGTACCATGTGACACCTATCTCTTAGAGACTAAGCTGCGAGGGTTCTTGCGATTGAAGCGTGATTGATTGCAACCTTTTGAATCGTCATTACCAACATGCGTAGAAGCTTGATGTGAACAAAACGAATTTTCTTTTGAAACTGCATGACACGACTGGTTTTGGACTGACCCCGGCAGTCAGCTGTAAGGGGCCCTGATACTTCGCACTGTGTCGCAGCATGACCTCAGCATGGAAGTCAGGATCGCACATCTCAACTGGCCCAGGCCCAGGCCACGCCTATTGGGCGCCCAGGGATCCCAGACGAAGACATGGCAGGAGTAAAGGTCTGCGGGGTGGTGTCGTATCATTTGATATGCAGCTAGTGTTACCATTTACATCGTGGGAACTTGAGTCATCCGCCTGCCAGCTGCGGCCGGGACCGGGAAAGGCACTGACATGAGTTGAAGACGGTCAGCTCGCGTACCTGCAAAAGTTGCAAATGTTGGCCGAGAATTGTGCAGCCAGCAAAGCTCACCAATGATGTTTGGCTTCCAGCATTATCGCATGTTTTTTCATGTCTTGAAACATGGCGGAACTCAGTAGCCAACCTGGCGCCTACACCTGCCTCTGAGTCGGTGCAGTTGCTGACATTCAGGGAGGTTGCACGAGTGTGTGTGTGTGTGTGTTGCGTGTGTTGCGTGTGTTGCATGTGTTGTGTGTGTTGTGCGTGTGCGTGTGCGTGTGCGTGTGAGTGTCGTGTGTGTGTGTGTGTGTGTGTGTGTTGTGTGTGTGTGTGCGTGTGTGTTGCGTGTGTTGTGTGTGTGTTGTGTGTGTGTTGTGTGTGTGTGTGTGTGTATGTGTTGTCTGTGTCGCGTGTGCGTGGTGTGTGTCGTGTGTGCTGTGTGTGTTGTGTGTGCGTGTGTCGTGTGTGTTGTCTGTGTTGTCTGTGTTGTTTGTGTCGTGTGTGTGCATGTGGTGTGTGTTGTGTGTGTTGTGTGGATTGTGTGTGTTGTCTGTATCGTGTGTGTGGTGTGTGGTGTGTGTTGTGTGTGTTGTGTGTGTTGTGTGGGTTGTGTGGGTTGTGTGTGTTGTTTGTATCGTGCGTGTGGTGTGTGTGGTGTGTGTGGTGTGTGTGGTGTGTGTGGTGTGTGTGGTGTGTGTTGTGTGTGTTGTGTGTGTTGTTTGTGTCGTATGTGTTTGTGTTATTTATTGTATGTTGCGTGTGTTGTGTCTGTTGTGGTGTGTGTGTGTGTGTAGGTGTGTATATGGGTGCGTCTGGGTATTATGAATGTTGTCTGTATCGTGAATGGATGATATGGATTCTGTATCTTATATATATGCGGTAAAATTGATATAAAATCTGATGTAAATAATATATTGATTTTATATATTCGTATCACGATAGGATGGGAATCATAGATTAAATTAAAAAATGAAATTGATACGAAAAATAGTGCAAATATAAGATTATTGAAATCGTAAAAGGAAAGGCTATATCGGTAT